ACCATTACCATCAGCCAGATCAAACTCATGGATGGTTTCCTATCCAGCCCTAGAGATCCTTTGTGAATATTGTGTGAATTTTTCCTGGGGAAACATGAACAATGCCTACTCATCCCAACAGTGACAGAAATAGGCGAGACTCCACACAACTGTAACTGGTGAATCAAGGAGGTAAATTAGGGTTCCTTAGAAGCATATGGTCAAATGTATTTGCTTTGTGTTTTGTTTCTCTGTGTGTGTGTGTTGAGAAAGGATTTTACAATGTGTTTCTGAAAGCCCCAAAACTCAATGTGTAGATCAGACAACATCCATCAATCAGTTTCTACTCCAAACTGTTGATCCCAATGTGCTCCTCTATGCTAAGCAATATTTGAAACTTTCCAGTGGTTATATCTCTGAAAAAACTTTGCCTGAAACTTTAAACTGCCTCTAGTTCTGAGAGGATAGGAGTAGCCTCAGGACCCTCTACACTGTTAAAGAATACTCCTGTGTGTAATAGGAGCTACAGAGACTTCAACAGGCCAATAGTCATGTCATGCCTGGGAAGCAGTGACTCACAACAATGGAAGATGCAAGTTGATGCTCCAGGGAGGATATAGCATAAGGGACACACTGACCACCTGATGTATCAGTTCATCTAGATGAACACAGAGGAAACTACAAGGTTTTCTATTGTTGTGATGAAATACTATGACCAAGAGGCATACTGGGCAGGATATTGTACATTTGGCTTACACTTCAGCAATGCTGATCATCACTAAAGAAAGTCAGGACAGGACCTCAAACAGGGCAAGATCCTGGAGGCAGGAGCTGATGCAGAAGCCTTGAAGGGGAACTGCTCTCTTCCTTGATTTCTCTGGCATGCTCAGCCCAGCTTCTGATAGAACCCAGGACTGGCACCCTGGAATGTCACAACCCACCATGGTGTCCTTCCCCCATTGATCACTAATTGAGAAAATGACTTTCAGCTGAATCTCATCGAGGCATTTCCTCAGTTGAGGCTCATTAATCTGATGACTCTAACTTGTGTCAAGTTCACACAAGAAACCCAGCTATATACCTGACTTGTAAATAGACACACAAACACATCACTATTAAGGCACATCCTATCCTTTCTTATTCATAACCAACATCTTAAATAAATTTAAAAGTCTCACAATCTTTACAAATTCAATACTTAAAATTTCATCCCTTTAAAAAAACCCATCTCTTTAAATCCAAAGTCTTTTTAAATTAAAAGTCTTTCAAGTACGGGCTCCAGTAAAATAACCTCAATAGGGAGGAATCAGGACAAAGTCTGGATAAAATCAAGGCAAAATGAAAATTGGGACCCTCCAATATCTGGGATCCATTCACATTGTTCTATTATCTCAAAAGGGCTGGGGTCACTCCTCTAGCTCTGACCTCCGCAGTACACATAGCTCATTTTCTAGGCTCTGACGGGATCCTCTCCACAATTACTGTTGTTCTTGGTGGTCATTCCCCTGCACTGGCATCTCCAAGCCATGGGGCTTCTCTGCTGCAACTGGGCTGCACTTTCACCAAAATCCTCTCATAGGCTCTCCTCATCATGCCAAGCCTCGAATTCTTTGCAAGACCCCTTCAGTCCTAACCCTTCAAATGCCATCAAAGGTGCACCATAACCAATGGCCTCTGCTTTCCTCTCACAGTGACAATTCTCTCCTGATCTTCATGACCCCTTCATGCCTTCAAAACCAGTACCACCTGGGTCACACATACACATTACCAGGTCAGGCTGCCCCACCATGAACAACCAAGGCTGCCTGTAGAAAACAGCTTCTCTGTGATCTCAAGAAATACTTCCAGGCAGATTTCACCTCAGTGATGCTGGTCTCTTCTTAATCTCTGCTAGTATCTTACATCCAGGTGACCAGTTTCTTTTTTCCCAGTACCATAAAGGATTTACTTCAGTAATTCTTGTATCTGGTTAATCACCACTGATTCTGCAGCTCTAACTAACCCCAACCACAGGATTGCTTTAGTCGTCTTGGTATCTTGTTGATCACAGTTGATTTTTCAGCTTCAGCTAAAAGAACCACATGTTCTTAATTCCAAAATAGAAAATTGTGCTCATATTTTCTTTAAACTTCCCTCTGATTTTACAAGCCAGTCAGGCCTGCATCTTTGAACTTCTCTCAATAATTCTTATCTTCCAAGATCCCACAGCACATCCCACTGAGGTCTCTCAACACTCAATAGCTCTTCTAGTCCAAAGTTCCAATGTCCTTCCACAATCCTCCCAAAAACATGGTCAGGTCTATCACAACAAAACCCCACTACACTGGTTTTATTTGGTCTTATTTAGGGTTTCTATTGCTGTGACAAAACACCATGACCACAAGACAAGTTGGCGAGGAAAGGGTTTATTTGGTTTACTCTTCAGAATTGCTGTTCATTACTGAAAGAATTTGGGATAGGTACTCGAACAGAACAGGCTCCTGGAGGCAGGAGCTGATGCAGAGGAAATGGAGGGTGCTGCTTCCTGACTTGATACCCATGGCTTGCTCTGCCCACCTTATTATTGACCCCTGGACCAGCAGCCCAGTGAAGGCAAAAACTACCATGGGCTGTGCCTTCCCCCTTGATCACTAATTGAGAAAATGACTTACAGTTGGATATCATGAAGGCATTCCCTCAACTGAGGTTCCTTCCTCTGATGACTCTAACTTGTGTCAAGTTGACACACAAAATCAGGGGACACACAGGAAAATGAAGATGGAAACATGGTATTCTCATGGTTCTGTGTTTGATACTATTCTGCTAAAAAAATCTCCTATAGATTCATTGGCTTTACTTACGGACATACATGAATTTTATAGGTACATCATCACAGCATTCATACCACTTTGGTATTCCTAGTTCATTGTTCAGAATCCTTCTGGATTTTGTGAAGGTTGATTTTGATTGAATGCCTGTTTATAAACAAATGTCCATTCCAACTTAAATGTTGTTTGCATCTCAACTATGAGCTACAGCTCCATGCTGACGGTCTAATATCAGTGTCATTTTCACCACATTTATGGGTTCAGGATGGCTTGTGACTTGGATGAGTAAGGATTGGTTAACTTTCAGAGTGTTTTACTATGTACTTGGAAACAAAGTGATTTTGGTTATGTACATGTTATGGTTAATGGGGCCAAGACTGCTCTCCTGTTTTGCAAAGGGTTCATACATTAGATATAAAATGTAAACGTCACCAAACTACACTTATGAGCTGAAAAGCAGAAGTGAAAACTAAGTTCCCAAAATGCAGAAGGTTCTGTGTTCCAGGAAGGAGGCTAACATTGTGCATCCTTTGACTTACACTTGTGAAGGATCATTGCACGGAGACTCCCTCCTCCATGGTTGGTGGGGTAGGGTCAGGGCTCCAAAAGATTGTTAATAGCTACACCCTATCTGCAGATGGGTACTAGGAAAACTGATCCCACCATCTGTTGTGCACATTGACAGCAAAATAGATTAACTCAAGCTTAATCCACAGGCATGTTATCTCTTATGTAGGTATCAGTTTCAGTTTGAAAGTCAGAGTGAACCCTTCTCTGGGAGCAGCATAGAATGTAGCTCATACAGATACTTCCAGGTATGATCTCCATCATTAGTTGTACTTATTGACCATGAAAATACCAAACTCAAGCTTTGCTTTTCCGTTCCATATGTATCAGCTTCACTTTCAGTTTCTATAGCTTGACAATTGATACTGTATCATTATAAAGAAATGTGGTTTGCTTAGCTGGTAATTTGGGGAGATGTAAATGTAGAACTAAGCAACCTGATCTGTTCATCCTCTGATTTGGATGTTGTTTGCTGTGTCACAGAATGCTAGAGTACCTGAAAGGAAATGCCCAGGAATGGAAAGGAAAGACTGCATTGTGGACATTGAATTGTGTACTAATATATTCCAGTAGGAATTCGTCATGGTCTAAGGGAGATAAAGCAGGAATGTAGGAGGGTTGTAGTCACATGCATATAATTTTTTTAATTTAGGTATGATGTTAAAGATCTCTCCAGGACAGAGAGGCTCATGATGCACAATGTGGTCTGTGATGACATATAGTAGAGGAAAATATCACATGAGACTGAGGAAAAGCAGAAGATATACATAGGTGAGGACCTAAATCTCGCTGGTGGGACTAGATGCTCCCTCATATCATGGGCTTAGAATAAATGAAGCACAATTCCTCAAAAGTCCACAAAAAGTAGAGGGTAAGTTTTGGAGTGTAGTGGTAGAAGAATTCTTCATCCCAACACTTGAGATATTTCCTGCACCTAAAACACATTAGCATGCTAGATCTTTGATCACACGTGATTTAAAAAATTAAGCAGTGAAATTTCTTGTAAAAAAAAAACACCTAAGATCCTCAAGTTTATATCCAAGACTTTGGCAACAGACAAGGTATATTATGGACTCTTCTCTTCACTACTAGGATGAATTCAGGGTTCTTCTCTGGCTGTGACAAGCCGCAAACAGCAAAATCCCAAGACTGTGGAAATTGAGCCAGGCATGCTGATTCAGATGAGGTTCTCCATTGTGTGATCCTGGGGCTGTGAGCCTGGAGATTATTGATGA